TAGGATTTTATTAAATAGGATAGAATAAACTTGCTTAAGTAGACATGCTTTCTGATGTAGCTAAACTTTTTCCAGGCCAGTGAAGCACCCCAACTTCTCTTTCAGGTGATTGTCAGCAACACAGCAGTAAATATCAACACAAAGCAGATCATTATTGTAGATCACGCAGGAAGAACAAAGGGTGAAATATTTAACTGCAGCAGTGTTTGTCTATATTCTGTACAGTGAGAAAACCTGAAGTCATTGTCAAGGTCCACCATTTCTTACTTCTTTTCAGTCAGGTAAAGTTTCTAAGCTTTCTAAATCTCCGTTTTCTGGCTAATGAAAAGAAAATAGTATTCCACCAAGTCTCATATCTACCTACTCCAGGACTTCTGTGAGGATCAAATGAGATGAGGCACAGGAAAACACTTCACAGATATTTGGTTAAAGTGTGAAATGTTTCAACCTGTGTTTGTGTGCTGAAGAAAATGCAAGGGGCTATTCGTTGCTAGGGAGAGGAAGCTGGGCATTGCTACATGACCTCATTACCCAGCAACCACAGCCACCGTTTCCAGGCTGGGCTGGGCTGTGGGCTGCATTTTGTGCCATGGGGTTTCGGCAGAATCAGCTGAGATTTGGTGAACTGTCACTCCAGGATGGTGGCAGGGCCTGTGTCCCTCTTGGGGGAAGCCAAGTATTGCTTTTTGGGCTCCAGGTCTGCAGTGCCATTTCTTTTTCTTTCTTTTTTTTAAAAAATATATTTTCTATTGATTTCCGAGATGAAGGGAGAGAGAGGGGGAGAGATAGAAACAACAATGTGAGACAATCATTAATCGGCTGCCTCTGGCTTGCCCCCTGTTGGGGATTGAGCCTGCAACCCAACCCAGGCATGTACCTTGACTGGGAATTGAACCCGGGACCTCTTGGTCTATGGGACAACGCTCAATCCACTGAGCCACCACAGCCAGGCTCTGCGGTGCCATTTCTTTGTGCACGTCATGGCAGCTCCTGAGCGCTGCCCCCTTGTGGTCAGTGCGTGTCATAGTACCAGCCGGAAGGTGGGAAGGACATGTAGTATATTAGCCTTTTATATAGATAGATTCTTTATACATGGCTGATTGCAGGAACACTATGGAATGCCTGCAAATATGTTATCATCCTGTGTAAAGTTGGTGCACACTCACATGAAACCATTGATTCTCTATATTTTGCAAATTTTGCACAACAAGCACACTTGTTGCTGTTTCACTGCTGTTTTTGATGTAAGAACACGTTTCTACTTTGCAGTCTCATCTTTGAGGAGCATATTTTTTTTAATATATTTTATTGATTTTTTACAGAGAGGAAGGGAGAGAGAGAGTTAGAAACATCGATGAGAGAGAAACATCAATCAGCTGCCTCCTGCACACTCTCCACTGGGTATGTGCCCAAAACCAAGGTACATGCCCTTGACCAGAATCGAACCTGGGACCCCTGAGTCCGCAGGCCGACACTATCCATTGAGCCAAACCAGTCAGGGCTTTGAGGAGCATATTAATCCTCTGATGTTCACATTTAACTAAAATAAAAAAATGAGCCCTGGCCGGTTACTCAGTGGTTACAGCATCTACCTACATACCAAAGGGCCATGAGTTTGATTCCTGGTCAAGGCACAAACCTCGGTTGCAGGCTCCCCAGCCCCAGTATGGACGCGTGCCATGTGTCTCTCTCATGCTGATGTTTCTCTCTAGCTCCCTCCCTCCCACTCTCTTTAGAAATCAATGGGAAAAATACTTCGGTGAGGATTTTAAAAATAAATAAATGAGAAGAAAAAGGTATGAAACCATCCATTTCCTAGAAGTTGGAAGAGAACGTTTGTTCTATGATCTTGAATTTCCTCCTGACTGAGCAATAAACAAACCTGGCCAAGGAACCACTGCCTCCACTCTCAGTGACTAACCAGCCCCGAGGCGTCCCAGGCACAGGATGAAAACAACGCACAGCTGGGAAGATACCTTTGGCTCTACAAGGAGGTAGTGACTTCATTCACTAAGCAAACTGGTGAGCACCTGCTGGAGCGATCCATGTCTTCAATGGGAGAATAGAAGTTTCCAGGACATTTCCCAAACAACATTGTCTTCATCTCCTAAATTCCTGTGGCAGCTACATATGACAGGGAGGCAATGCCAAACAACAATGCCAATGTAGCCCTGACACAGGGACAGAAAAAAGCGCCTGTTCTGAGGGAGAGGCCGGGCACAGGCTCAGGCTGTGGGTCTGACTCTGAGCCACACGCTGCTCCTTCTGTTAGCACTCGCCTCCGGAAGTTACAGCTCACGCTGCTGAGCTTTCAGGATTTAGTCATACACCTTGATGTGATTTCTATGAAACTTGCTTCTTAGAAAAATAAAGCTTTGAAAGGTGTGGCACAAAACAGGCTCCTAAATACTTGTAAAGGGATGAAGCAAAGCATGAACCTCAGGACCTACAATGCACGCTCCCCATGAAGGGGACAGTAGTTGTGTCTAGTGTCCTCAGGTTTGCAAAGTGACATGCAGGTGCCCTCACCCCCCTCCCAATGGGGGGGCAGTGCCCCCTCTGAGCGCCTCTGCGGGTATCACCTGGGAAGGCACCAGCTGCTGAGGACAGGTGTCCTGCTCGCCATCTGCCATCCAGTTCTCAGGGCGAGACTGACCTACCACTGTTCTCTCCCCATACACTTGTGCAAATAATGAATAAATGAATGAGCAAGTGAGTGAATGAGTGAGGAAATGACTGAGTGAATGAGTGAATGAATGAATGAGTGCGTGAGTGAAAGAATGAATGAGTGAGTGAATGAGTGAGTGGATGAATGAATGAGGGAGTGGATGAATGAATGAGTGAATGAGTTCAGTAGAGTCTAAAAGACATCGAGTCTCTGGCTGTTACAGGAAAAGACATCGAGTCTCTGGCTGTTGATAACCTCTGTGTAGCAGCTTAACAACTTTGGAGAGATCTAGTTCACTAAAGACAATCTTTTCCATGGCAGTAAGTCCTTCGTTAGGCACTCCTGACTGTAGAGCACTGCAGAACATGTGTAACACCCTGTGTGAAGGTGAGTGCTCTCCAGGGAAGCCAGTCCTCGGCAGCTGCTGCTCTCTGCACAGGCTCAGGACAGAGCTCAGGCAGAAGGGGGCATTGGAGTGAGTGCCTGTCCCTGCAGGTGGGCCTGGTGCTCAGATCCGTCAGACACATTGTAGTTGTCTCTGGCAACACAAGTACAGAGCTTGTGACTTATCAATGTGCAGAGTGATGTCACTGAAGACTCCTAATGCCCAAATATAAAGTCCTGCCCTGAATGCGTCCCAAACACCACTAGTTTAAGTCTATTTCATGGTCGGTAGTGACACACTGAGGAGACCTCTGCAAAGTATTTTTTAAAATATATTTTTCTTGATTTCAGAGAGGAAGGGAGAGAGAGAGAGAAACATTGATGAGAGAGAATAAGTGATCGGCTGCCTCCTGCACGCCCCACATTGGGGATCGAGCCCACATCCTGGGCCTGTGTCCTTGACTGGAATCGAACCTGGGACCCTTCAATTGCAGGCTGATGCTCTAGTCACTAAGCAAAACTGGCTAGTGCCTCTGCAAAGTTTCTAGGCTGCTATGCAAAGGTTCACATAGGAATCCCGCCAAGAACAGTCATTTTTCCTCCGTAGAACCTCACTTACAATCCCAAACAACAGAATGGAAGGAAAGTGATACAGAAATGCCTCCGGAGGTCTTTCTTAGTTTAAACCACGGCACCTTGCGCAGCACCTCTGAGGTGCTCGGAGGCCTGGACACGCTGGGTGACGTCCTTGCTCGGGGACGATGACTCTAGAAGTTGTGCACGGCCTTTCTCTGCTGCTTTGTGCAGTAAAATAATAATGTGCTGTACAACATGGTTCCCACAATGTAATGATAGTGTTTTTCAAAAGTATTATTCACAGAGTAGTACATCCAAACTCACTGCATTTTTCCTTTCCTCTAGCTTATGAACAACACATTTAGTTTAAAGAGCATTTTCATACAATTGCCTTCCACCAATTTTGTGAGTGAACTGAAGTTCAGTGACTTAGCCGTGCATGAGGGGAACAGTCCAGAGCTCAACCCAGGGCTGCCATGACGAGCCCCTTCCCACCAGGGTGCTTCTACCCACAATTCGCAGTCTCCCGCTAACTTCACCACAAGGAAACAAAGAAACCCTTCGGAGGTTTCTCAAAATAGCAACTTGCAGAATTTGGTAAAACTAGAAAGTCACCCCTCCACTTTTCAAAGAGTGAAAAACTTTGAATGTTACCTCTTCTCTAATTGTCCAAACGCCTTCAATGGGGCCCTAGTCAATTACGAAGCGGCGCCTGAGATGGACCACTTATTGACAAGAAAACATGGACGTCTATGCCTGATTATAATGCCGCTGCGCACCCCACTGCAGGCAATGGCCACTAAATCACATCCTGGGGCCAATCGCTTAGAGCTCAGCGTCAAATTATATTGCAAGCTGTTCATCTCACCCTCCTTTTCTAATTAATTTTCTATAAAAAGAGATGTTTAGCCCTAGCTGATTTGGTTCATTGGATAGAGCTTCGGCCTGCAGACTAAAGAGTCCTGGGTTTGATTCCCGTCAAGGACACAGGTGGGGGTTGCGGGCTCCATCCCCAGTAGGAGGCGTACGGGAGGCAGCCGATCCATGATTCTCTCTCATCATTGATGTTTCTACCTCTCTCTCCCTCCCCCTTCCTCTCAAAAAGCAAATATATGTCACAGGTCTTCAGTTTACTCAGAAAAATCACTGGAAGGCAATTTTGTGTATATGTACACACAGACACAGAGAGAGATGTTCAGAGTCTATTTCCAGCTGTGACCAGTGACAGCGTTATCCCCGCAGCGTTCTATCTGGAGGGAGAGTGAGCGGCTCCTGCAGGAAGTGCAGAGGACTGGCAGCTGCTTTACTCTGTGGCTCCACCAGAGAAAAGACTGAAAGCCCTTGGCACTTTGAGTGAATGGGAACTTCTTACCTCTAGCAGAAGTCACTGCACCCAATACAGCTGCGGAGTCTCAGGACACGGCCTCCTATTAAAAGTCAATACATTTACGCAGAGTTCTATGTCCAGCACCTAGAGTCCCGCAGAGGGAGAAGGGCGGCCAGCTGGACAGGGCACCTGCGGACCAGGGGCCGCCCCCCCCGCCCCCCCCTCGCGCGTCAGCTTCTGCAGCCGAGTCAGCTACCCGAGGGGAAACTGCTCCCGGGCTTTTAATGCAGGAACGTCTTCATCCTCCAGCGGCCCAGGACTTCCCCCTTCACAGGAAGATACAATGACCGCTCCCCAAAAAACACAAGTCATCCTCTCGCAACTCCACTGCGGTCAGGTTTCTCCAGCCTCCAGCCCCCGCCCCGGGGTCCCTCCTGCCAGTTCCGGACGGTCCCGGAGTCTCGGCCCCATCGGCGTGTGCCCCGGGGAGGAGGGCACCCGCTGAAAACCGGGGTCCGCTCCCAGGGCCTGACCCATTCCCTGCACTGTGCCCACGAGTCAGGCTACCGGCCCCACTAACTGCACTGTGTGGAAAGGGGGCACCACGCTAAAGTTGGGGGGACATCCCAAGCACTTTATCACCAGGCAGAGACCCCCGCTTCCCTGCCCTCCCTCTCCCGGGGCCCACAACTCACCCAGCCGCCATCCCCGCCGCGGTGCCTCTAAGCCTCTTTCTCCTTCCCCACGTGCACCGCCCGGGGCGCTCCGACCCGCCCACCGGGGCATGACACACCCACACCCACCGTGATTGGCCGGTGAGGAGCGCGCAGGCCTCCATTGGCGGAAGTGCCTCCCCTGCCTTAGCCACTCCCGGCGCCAACTCGGTCCAGAGAGGCCGGGTGCACGCCCGCTATGACACCCCCTCGCCCCGCGCCCCCAACCGGACCAGAGCTGCATGCGGTATGTGCTGGCATGTGTTCACCTGTCCTGAGTTGTCCGCCTGCCGAAACCCCCAACCTCCCGAGGCACCGCCACAGCTTCCCGCCCCACATGCTTGTCCGGGCAGAGACCGGTTTCTCCTCAAGTTTAGGACCTAAACTGTTCTGGGGTCGAGTTGACCGTTCATGGCCTGTATGTCCGGGCTTGGTGGACAGGCCTTGGAAAGACCTCCTACATGTGCTGAAAACCATGGATGTTGGATGGGATGTGGAGGTTGTGGGCCGCAAAAGAGAAGAAAGAAAAGAGGAGGGCGGGCGGGCAGAGAAGAAATCCATGAGGACGGAGGGACTTGATGCACTGGGCTCCATGGACCGAATGCGCTCCGATGACGCTTCCTGCTTGCACCCTGGATGCGGTATGTATGTATGTATGTATTCAGATGATATTTTCTTGAGTTGTCCACTTGAATAACCTTAATGTTTTTGTTGTTGTTTTTTGTTTAGTTCCATACAAAGATTGCTATTTATTCATATCTGATTTATTCATTTTTTATTTTACTTTAAAACCCGTATGGTTTTATGAACCGGTGTCTCCCCAATAATTGAGAGAGAGAGAGAGAGAGAGAAAGAAAAGATGAGACGATCCGTGAGTACTGCCTCATTTAGGTTTCAGCTCTCCTAGGCGGCAAAAGTGTTTTTGTGCCCTAACTGGTTTGGCTCAGTGGATGGAGCGTTGGCCTGCGGACTCGACGGGGGGGGGGG